GTGTGTTTCAGGAAGTGTGTGTATCATATGAGCCATGATGATATACCAAACGTGTAATACTTAAAAGACAAGATGGGATAATATGTCACACCAAATATATCTGGATGTGTGGCAGCCACTTCCCACGAGCATTCCCCTGGTTAATTACTTTCTCGGGGGCGTTCTTGGCTGTAATCAAAACAGCTGTCATTAGGGAGGCAGGTACCTACCTCGGTATTGGGTAAGGGCGGGTAGCAAGAAAAGGTAGGTAGTCATTAGTATCCGATGCATCGACTCAACTGCCACCGCGATGCGGAATGCAGAAATGCGTTGAGAATAAACGTAGCAGCGGTAAACACCAATCCTCTAGGATCAGTTGGCATCAAATCCAAAGTTATGATTTTTCCCAAACTCTTCCGCCAATTACGCGGGGCTCAGATGGTCACAACCAGGGGTTCCGTAGACACCTGACCAAGGAATATTGTCGTCTTTCTAAGACTGCTAATTCCATTAGGATCATGGTCGAAACAATTGAGGCCGGACATATGAAACCGACCAATGACCGTTGGGTCGAAGGAGCTGGTCGCACTTTCGTCTGAGCTTTGCGGCGCATGTTTGTGTGCTACTCTAAATTCCGTTCGTGGGCAGAAAACAGCGTGTGCCACCTTAGCCAACGGCCACAAGGCCGGTCATCTGACGTGCATATCAAGGATGGCCCAGTGGTCTGGTAACCCCTAAAATGTTGGCAGGCCATTGAGAAGAACGAGTGGAGTGATCCTTCAGAGGTGCTAAAGCTAATGTGGTATCAAGAGACGCTGGCAAGAAGCGAAGGGAAACAAAATCCTGCCAGATTCAGACTAGGATCAGAATCTTACACAGCCCCGGCGGACCGCACATAGTCATCTTACTATGGACGAAAGGAGTTATAAGCCTTTGCTTTGGGTTAATATGGTTAACGGCGGTGGGCCACCACATGTAAGCCAACGACAAATATGGTTATCCATACGCTGCTTAGCGACAATAATGGGGGCTAGCTTTGGAACCTCAGCTCTTGGCTAGCGTTTTTAGACGATTTGGCGGCTGGGTCTCTTCCGCGGTCATGGCCTGAAAGTATGGGCCGGCCACGTCCCGTCAGCGGCGTAGGCCAGGTTCAGTCCGGGTCCTGCCACCTCTTACTCCGGCGGCCGTGCAACGGAATGGTTGATGGCGTTGGTTCAACTTGAACAGCGCTTTGCGAGGATTGAACGTCTGATGATATATTGATCGGCCGTCACCATAAGTTGGAGACCCAAAACAAATTCCAACATACTACAGCCTTTGATTCAACCTTCCAGAACAAACAGAAGCTCCTCGATTATATTAGCCTTGTCTTTAAATTCCAAAAGCTAAAACTACTTTCTAGTTTGATCTAATTAAAGCATGGATCCGAACAGAAATCAACGGTCTAACAACGGCTCGGGGACAAACGGAAACGGCAACAACCCTCCGGTGACCAAGACGGTCAAGACAGCTACAACCAAGACAACTGCATTGAAGCCAGCTCCTGTCCAAGCCGCACGTGCTACAAACACCAGCACTGCCACTGCCAGCTCAACTGCTACCAACTCCACTGCTACCAACTCCAATGCTACCAACTCCACTGCTACCAACTCCACTGCTACCAACTCCACTGCTACCAACTCCACTGCTACCAACTCGACTTCTGCCACCAACACCAGAACTGTGACCCATCGCCCAGCCCAGACTACCGCAACCAATAATGCCCAAACTTCTGGGCGCCAGAATGTAACTCGCACCGCCGCGGGTGCCGAGGGATCAGCCAGAACCCAACCCCGAGCAACGGCTGCAAGCACAAACACCAACGCAACCGCAAGTACTAGCGGACCAAGGGCTACTGCAAGCACGGCTGGTGCAAAAAAGACTGCTGCCGCCAAAACCGAGGATGACCCCTCGCTCGCCTACGCCCGCCGTATCGCCGAGCTCGCCGTGCAGCGTGCTGTCCTCGTCACCAAGACCGTCTTGAGGTCGATTCCCAAGAAAGCGCCTGCTGGTCCGAACGCTCCGCTGAGCCAGAAACAGAATGCTGGCACGACGGACGGTACCTCAGCGGCCAAGAAGGACAACTCCCCCGTTACTATCGCCGACTTTGCCGTACAGGCCCTGCTCATTTCCGGGATGCGCAAGGCTTTCCCGAACTATGGTTTTCTCGGCGAAGAAACTGCTGGAAAGCTTCGAGAGGACGAAAGGATGAGGGAAAAGGTATGGAAGCTGGTGCAAAAGACTAAGTTGTCCGACCCTGCTTGCGAGGCCCTGCTCGGGAAGCCAGGGGGCCCGCAAGAGATGATGGATATAATCGACATTGGAGCCAGCAAGACCAACGCGGAGCCAAACAAGAAGTATATCATAATGGACCCCGTCGATGGGACGTCGGCATTCATGGAACACGGCCAGTACGCCGTCGTCCTCGGTATGGTCGAGAACGGACACGAGATTATGGGGGTGGTGGCCGGTCCGAACGTCAAGTTTGACGATGTCGTCTTGGGGGGTGCAAAGATCAGAGAGTTTGACACCGACGAAGATGGTTTGGGAACCATGATTTCCGCCGTCAGGGGTTATGGAGCCACAGCTCGGCCCGTTGGGCCCGGAGAACTGCTGCCGGCAGTTCCCCTCAACCGGGCATCGCAACCGCCGCCCAAGCTTGACAAAACAAAGCCTGGGCTGGCCAAGTTCTACGGCCTGAAATATGTCGACTCCGAGAATAGCCCAAAGAGCCGATGGGACAAGGTTCAGGACTTTGCCGGAGGACCTGACAAGTACAAGAAAGCGTTGCAGCTGTACTCGTCGCACGTTCGTTACATGGCCATGGCCCTAGGCGACCGGACATACACCCAGATTCGGTGGCCGGACGAACGCAAGAAACCGTTCAAGCCATGGTCCATCTGGGACCACGTCGGCACACCGTTGATCTACACAGAATCTGGACCGTCGAAGGTGACTGATCTACACGGCAAGCCCCTTACTTACAACGAGGGTAGGGATATGTTGAGCTATTATGGTATCATCACGGCCGATGCGACGATTCACAAAGCCATCGTAGATGCGGTGAAGGTGGAGCTTGCTGCTGAGCAAAAGCTTGTTGCTGCGAAAAAGCTTACTGCTGCGAAAAAGTGAAATGCTGAGGAGCCGGGTTATGAAGAGAAAGCAAAGAGATATGGCAGGCCCATTAGATAAAGAATCGTAGCTTATTAAACAGATTTCCTCTTTTGGATACACATGGTCGAGACATTCAGTATAGTTCTCAAGTCACGGCCCCGCGAAAGAGCTTGAATCATGACGCGGCGTGCTCCTCCTACTTCTAACATATTCCTTCGGCATGACCACGCGAGGGAGAGCATACCGAACAGTACCTATTATCACAATATTACACCGAAAAACATGCTTTCCCAACCTAAGTCGGCACAGGCGGGCCCCCTGAGATGGTAGTCACAGGCCCAGCAATACCAATACAGTAGTAATAACCAAGCCACAACCCTCCACAGTCAGTACCAAGAGCAGGGTTCCATGCATAGAAGTCACTACCGTCAAGTTAGCACGATTATCCTCGGGTTGTGATACTGCACAGCACTTACTTCAGATCAATGCCAGCCGCATTCGCGATGGCCCAACAGCCATCGTTTTCTCGGGCAAAGTAGAAGCGGTGGCACTCGGAGGTCATGCCGTCCTGGGTGGTGTTAGAACTTGACTGCCAAACTTTCAATACACAAGTGAGATTAGACTCACCCGAATTGGTGTCGGCGTGGTTATGGGCCCACTGCCAGATGACGTGGTTGTGCTCGGTGCAGTAGACATGGTTGAGGAACCCGGAGCAACCGTCGTGGTACCCGTCTCTGGCGGCGAAGTGGCGGATTGTGACGTCGAGCCCGGCCCAGAAGTAATGGTCACTGCCGGCCCATCAACCGAGACGCATACGTAGAAGTCCCGTGTTAGAGCACACGATGTTGTTCCCAGGGCCGGATTCCACTCCAAGAACTGTGTCTCTGTGATACCATTAGCGTCTTCAATCGATTGGCAGGTATCAGTCCTGTTGAGTTGGTTAGCCCCTGAGCGAATTTCACTATCACGGGGTAAGCGGGGGAGATAGGGGTAGCAACTCACGGCCCAACAAGCCACAACCTCGCACAATCCTCCGTCATACCATCCTGCGTCGGCGTGGCATCCGGAATCTCCGTCGTCTGCACCGGTTCCGAGCGCGTCGTTGGCGTCCCGGGGATCCCAACACAATACCACCAACCATCCACCAGGTTAGTGCACGTCGACCCAACGTTTGAGTTCCAAGAAATGAAGTCCTGCTCCGAAAAAGTGCCGAACATGGCGGCGATCTCGCCGCATGACTCGCCATCCCGCTGATACCAGCGCTTGCAGACGGCGATTTGGTTGGGAGGCAAGGGCGCCGGGGTGGCCGTCACGGTGGGCGGCATGGCGGTGATCCCTTCGGGGCCCACAACACAGTACCAGTAGTTTGCCCAGAGACCGTTGCAGTCGCCGTTCAGGGACGGGTTCCACGCGAAGAAGTCGGCTTCGGTTAGCAGCGTGCCGTCAACCATTACACGGCAGGTATCGCCCTAGAATTTGCTTAGCGCAAGAGCTCACGAATCGTGTCGAAAAAAATACCAGTGAAACACCTCTGGAGTGAGGTGAGAAACAAAAAAAAGGGCTTACATCCTGGGCCTGATAAAACGACTTGCAGCCGCTGACCGTGCCGTCGCGGGTGGGAGAGGCGGTGAAACTAGCATCGATCGGAGACAACGTTGAGGGCGTGAAGTTGGCTGTAATGGTCGGGATATCCACGTTCCCTGCCGTTGTGGTCCACCCAAGCTCAACGTTAGATGCAGGGCGGACGCTGATACAAACCCACCAGCCGTCGTAGAGACCCGAACAATCCGCGCCGAGGGCCGGGTTCCATGCGAGCCTGGTAATGGAGGTCAAAGGTGTGATTTCCGGTAGCTAAGGGGCGTGGAACGACTTACAGATTTGCCATGGTTAGCCATGAACTGCTGGCAACGATACTATCACAGGTATCCCAAGCCGTAGTCAAACGCCAGTCATCGCAGTCTGCTGGCTGCCCGTCCTGCGTTTTGGTTGGAGGGAACGCTTGCGCAGTGGTTGTGGGTGTGATGGTATAACTGGTAATGGGATGCAGCGTGGAGTATGGTTCCGTGCTTGTGTCGGTTGAACTGGACTCGGTTTCAGATGCCGTCTCGGACGAAGACGTGCTGCCGGTACTGCCGGTACTACTAGGGCCGGTGGTGATGGTACTGCAAGAGCAGGTGGCCGGCGCGGAGCTCAAGCTGCTCGGAGGCGCCGGCCCAACACCGACGCAGTAGGCATATCCAGGCCAGAAGTTGGTCCCGCAGTCGTCGGCAATGTCTGGGTTCCACTCATAGAACTGGTCGACCGTGATCTCGTACTCTTGGGCGATGGACCAACAACCGTCGCCGTCGACGACTGTGTGATAGGCATTGCAGTTCGAGGCAATGTTAGGGAAAATTGGTCCATTGGGGGATGAATCCTGGGCCCGAATAACCGGCAATAGCAGTAGTGTAAGAGCCCGGGCCACGGAGGCTGCCCTGAGGATCGAAGACGAGGACATCTTCAAGAAACGAGTGTCGAGCCGGCCCTTCAACGAGCCAGAGTCGAAGAAACCTGGGGACGGATCGCAACTAGAAAGGAAAGCTCGTCGTAAAGAGGTGGAACGTGGGCGAGGATCGCACGCAGCATCGACCGGTTTACTCGCGAGAGCCTTCACCCTTCCAATGGCCGACGACTTAGGGTCCGCCGAAGATTGGAGTGTACGTGTAAGGGTTCTTAGTCACATAACTCCCCGGTTAGGTGGATATGGGAACCGATGTCTGTATGCATGGTCAGGCGAGCAATATTCTGAACACCATTGTCCCGATATTGGATCTCTTGGATATCACTCAGAAGTGCGCTAAGCCGTTGCCGTCCTTTAGGACCACCCTAGAGTTCATACTGTGTAAGAACTTGGGAGTCAATAGTCGTGAACCTGAGTAATCCCCAGCCCTTGACCTCTCTTATGGTTCTGAGGCTTTTAGGACTGGCCGAGTAGTTGCTAGCGGCTAATTACAATACTGCCGCTAAGATGTTATGGTAGGGAATCTTGGGCTTCCGGTGGGGTGGTTACAATTCAGTTCTTTGCTTCACGTTACATTGTGGCGTTGGTTCCTGCGCAAGGAGGTGTGGTGCTCAGTCAGCACATCGCGATGACAAGGGTCAAGATTCTGGCCCGAGAGACCAAATCTCGTGGAGAAATGTGGAGTGCAATTCGGAGCTAAGGCTCTGGATGTCGATGGGCTGACTCAGAAACCATTGGGAAGGTTGCCTATTGCGACCTCGGCAGGTATCGTCGAATAGGTTCTATCAGTTATCTCGGGTAGGGCTGCGTCCACTTCCACGAGTTCCCCTTTGTGGTCTTCCGCCACCAGTCACAGCGAGTCATGTATGGTTGGAAGCGGATCCCACCAACCCACGCCGGCGGTTCGGCCCTGAAGAAGATCACTAAACCAAGCCGGGTGCATTTACATGTACATGTACATGTACATCCGTGCCTATGCTCTTTGATGCTCTACCCCTGTCTTCCAAGCCTTTACTAATGTCAACTCCATCTCACTACCACACAAGCAAAACATCAGGCCCCTTCTTTTCTCCCACAGCGGTATGGAAATGGTAATCTACCTAGGAATAATCTCCGTTCTCCAACAGTGGTGATGACTTGGCTGGCCCTTTTTACCACAACCCAGGACATACTTTGACAAGCCGAGCATTCCTTTCTTCACACAACCCCAAGTTGTGCTGACCTTCAGTCTTTCGTTTACCTCAGAACATCTTCCCAACACAGGTGGAGTCAATGCAGAGTCTCGCCTAGCCATGCTCACTAAACTAGCAGCGCTCCTCTTTGGAGGGCTTCTCCTCCTGCTCGTTCAACCCATTCTCACACAGAGCACGCCCGATTACACTTGCTCGCCCACCAAGCCATGTACGCTTGGCTGTTGTGGTCCAATGTCTGTACCGTTTCCGTCTGCTTTCTCTTGATGACCACCAACTGACGTTTTCGGTAGCGACCAAACCACAGGGACGGGGATCTGTGGTATGGGCCCAACTTTCTGTGCCCCGGGAAACTGCACAAGCGAATGCAACGCCAAGTCAGAGTGTGACCCGGGCTGGGGACCTGAATGGTCACAGGCTACAAACTGCCCGCTAAATGTCTGCTGCTCGAAGTTCGGGTTTTGTGGAACCTCTGCAGAGTTTTGCGATGGCAAAACCGTGTCCTCGCCAGAGTGCCCTGGCGGGAAGAGCGCTGATCAGCGGACAATTGGGTACTATGAAGGGTGGAACTTGGGGAGGTCGTGTGGACGTAAGTAAAACGACCCGAGTTGTGTTTGTCCAAACCAAGAATTAACAAGGACGGCAGGTATGGCTCCGGAGGATATCCCTCTGGGGTACTACACACACATAAACTTCGCATTTGCATTAGTGAACCCGACCACGTTTCACATAGACGATATGGGCCCAGACACGGCGGCACTCTACGACCGAGTATCTGCGTTGAAGACGAGAGACCCCGATCTCAAGGTCTGGATCGGTAAGCTTCCCGATCTTTGGTATTTCTTCTACGACGGACACTAACAAACCTTGAAGCCGTTGGCGGATGGGCCATGAACGACCCTGGCCCGTACCGTACCACCTTTTCGGACTTAGCCAAGTCGACCACCGCCCAAGATGCCTTCTTTGAGTCTCTGATCACTTTTATGAGAAAGCACAATTTTGACGGCGTTGATCTTGATTGGGAGTACCCCGTGGCCGATGACCGAGGCGGCCTCCCCGAGGATTTCGACAACTTCGTCACTCTGGTTCGGCGTTTGCGCGAACGCCTGAATCGAACGGGGCGGGATTACGGTATCACACTCACTCTGGTAAGAGATGAAATCTTAACACCAAGCCGTGCCCCCTAATGAGACTTGCTAACCCTCCTTCTAGCCCGCCTCATACTGGTATCTCCGTGGCTTTAACCTCCAAAACCTCGAGCCATGGATTGACTGGTTCAATGTCATGACGTACGATATCCGTGAGTTAAACGCCCCCTTTCCATTGCTCTTCGCCTCAAACACACTAACTTTCCACCACAGACGGAACCTGGGACAGCACAGTCAAAGCCATTGGCCCATACGCCTTCGCCCACACCAATATGACCGAGATCCAACAAGCCCTGGAACTTCTCTGGCGCAACAACATCAACCCCGGCCGCGTTGTGCTTGGGCTAGGCTTTTACGGCCGCAGCTTCACCATGAAGTCTCCCGACTGCATGCACTCTGGTTGTGAATTCACCGACGGTGCCCGCGGCGGCGAGTGCACAGGCACCCCAGGCGTGCTTTCTGCGTCTGAGATCAATACCATTATTGCTAATGGCGCGACTGTTACGACAGATGAAGAAGCCGGGGTCAAGATTGTGACGTGGGATAGCAACCAGTGGGTTAGCTACGATGATGCGGCGACGCTCAAGATCAAGTTAGATTATGCAAATTTGAGGTGCCTTGGGGGGTGAGTTGACAATTCATGTTACTTACTTTGGAACATGACACTGACTTTGAGACAGAACAATGGTTTGGGCTATCGATCTTGACGATGGGACGTTGATCAACGCGCTTGGATCGGATCTCTCAAGACCTAAAAACGAACTGACGAAGCCCCCGCCCAGCATCCCAGATTTTGAGACAGAGTGGGATGAGCTGTGAAGAGGTAGGACGTCTTTATGGTATAATAGGGTTCAAAGATACTTCCTGCAGTTTAGGTGCTTTCAATGTTAAGCTTCTTTTTGGCACATCAACCGTTTCGTGATTGTAGAAGGTGATCAACATTAGGTACAGAAGCCATGAGGGCAAAGACGCTTTCCCCAGCTCTCAGGTTAGGTATGCTCACATTCTCAGCAACCCAACGGCCTTAGTCCAGGGTCTGGTCATGTGGTATTAGAAAACTCATATTCTCCAGGCATATAATTGTAACAATGCAAACAGCCGTGGAAAACCCAGAATTATGAGAACCCCAAGGCAAGTAGCAAGTGCATGAACACAAATTCATCTCGGCTGGAGAACGGCACTTGGTCAGGATTACTGCGTTCCATCTTCTTGTTTTTCTTCTTGTTTTTCTTCTTCCTTTTTCTTTCTGTTTCATTTTCTTCTTTTTCGGGGGGGAATTTCTCAACGTCGATGTTCGTTTATTTGGCTCGAGGTAATCTGCTTCCCTGGCTCACAATTTGATCATATCCACCTTGGCACACGGGGTTTCCGATGAAATGGGGAAAGCTATTGTAGAGTAATCAGATATGTAATGAAATCAGAATAACTATTAGGACAGTACCGAAAATCACCCCAAAAGGCTCAGCTCTCATTTTTAAACGGGCTTGGTTGGCATGTCTGCCTGCCGTGTTACCAGTCTAAGAAGAACAACCCGAGTCAGGGTCCTTCTTCCTGAGACTCTCAAACGCGTTCTTGAACGGGTTGCTCTTGTCATTGAGGAGCTTCCCAAAAAAGCTCGTCTTGACGCCGTACATCTTCTTGAGGCCAGCAACATCGCGCTTGCTAGGTTTGGAGACGGGGTTGATCACGTCCCCGTTGCGTTTCGTGAGAACGTTCAGCTTGTTGCCAGTTGCTGGGTCAACCCTACCGCACAGCATTGCTGGGGTCTGTAAACAAGATTAGTAGCTGGTTAAGATTTAATACCAACAGTGGCAGGGTTACTTACAGAGCATAATGGATTCCCAGTCAGGTTCATTCCGTTCGTCGTCGATGGTACCGGGCTCGTTCGTGATGGGAATGTAGTTGAAGCCACCGGCGAACTTGCCCCTGCTAGCCTTGCTACGGTCGCGGCAGATTTCATTCCTGTAAGCTCTCCTGATGTAATCTGGCTGACCGTTGTATGGGGCCATCACAGTGTCGAAATCCCGCAGATTCTCGCAATGGAAGTTATCCTCGCTGAAAAAGTAATTTTCTCGTTCGACGCCGGTGAAGGTCTCGGACCACCACTTGGGGTTCTGGTGCTCATGGTGGAGGCCCCATGAGTGCTACACGTTTGGTAATAGTCGTCAGTGGTTGTATGCAAGAGTAATAATTCCCGGCCTTGTCACTTACGCCCATCTCATGCGCATAGTTGGCGACCACATTACCCATACCAACATCAAGCACATCACTGAGCGTCATGACCGGCCCGAGCTCGCTATCAGGACGATCGCTTTCTGGGGCGGCTTGCGGAGCGTCAACGCCCACAGTTGTGCTCATCTTTCGGTTGTTCTGGCCCGCGTACATAATGAGTAGATGCGTGGACCGCTGGTTTCGCTCGCATCCGGGGTCATCGTCCCCCAGTATGGTGAACCGGAATTTACCGTTTTTGTCGTCTAACCCTGCCTGACGCCAGAGCTCACGGGCCGTGATGAGGTCGTTGTACAATATGTCCCTGGTGGCTCTATTGGCCCCTTGATGGAGATGGCTTCGTTGTTCAAAACACGCATTGATGTTGCCGTCCGGCCAGAGGCGCGGGTACGCACCCGTGGTGGCCGGGTTGCTCAGACCGAAGAAGCGCTTTTGGTGAGCGTGGTGATCAGACGAGACATTGGTTCCGTTAAAGTAAATGTTGTTGACGCCCGAGAGATCCCGGGCGGCAATGGCCGCTTTAGCGTAGTGGATAGGAGGCTCCCATGCGCGGTTCCCGGCGTCGACGACGGTTGCCGCGAGGAGGGAGAGAATTGTAGTCTGCAAGGACAGCATCCTCAGAAACAGAAACGAACGAGCGTGGCAGAGCCAGAAAGTTGAGAGCCAGCAGCGGAGCAGCAAAGTGCTCGTGTATCAGTCCTAGGACTCATAACTTGAAGAGGCTTGGACCGGTTACCGAAATGTCAAATCGACCTGCTCCCCTCGGCGAGGCTAGCGCGTGTAACCTGGGCTCCATACTCTGAGTATCGTCTGACGTCCCGACCGGGCTAACAAGGGGGGCACGCTGATTCAGCTCACCTCCACTGCGGCTCCCGCCCTGCATAGTAGCCGCCGTGTGCCTTGCATTGGCAAAGGTTGAAGATTGCTTCAAACCCGGATATTGGGACTAAGAACAAACCAATGGTATACCGCTAATCCTCAATGGAATGTAACCGCCAGTCGCTGACTGTTGCAACTGCATCTTGTTCCCCAAAACGGGCGCTATAATCTTACCCTCGGATCGTGGTCGAAAGATGGCTTGGCCGCGATACTACCGAGCTGCAGGAACCGACAGGGGTTCCAAAGGAGGTACCGGTACATGTCCATGCTTGTGACGGAGTATGACCACGAGCTACCCTTGCGCAGGGGCACCCGCCGTACATACCCGCATGGAACTATCGATTACAGCTCAATTTTCCTTCCCCATAATCGGTAAGGTGGATGCGTGACCATCTTCAAGAAACCCTCTGCCTAATCCCACCACTCCATCTCGCCAATACAACAGCCGAGTATCGTGGGCTGTTCTCTAAGCGACGGCACCGTATCTGAGCACTGTGTCCATTATTTCCCATGATTTATTAGCGTGATGATGGGCGCTGAGAAAGGACCAGTGGGGGCGGGGGGCTGATTGAATTGTTGAGGCTATTCGGGGGTAAGGTTCATTTGTTCACCCACCGAATTAGCAACGGGCCTTCATTCAGAGGTGCGGGATATACGGTGGACTAAGCTAGCCCTGGAGAACATCTCACCGACACCCGATTACCTCCGGCCAAACCCCCTTCTGTCACCCCTTCCGAGGTTGTAATCATAGGATCTCCCGTCCATTCCTTTTTCTTTCTCATATCACCCGCCCCCTCTCCAACTTACCGTCTTTTTGGGCCAGCAGGTCGCTGGTAGAGGGAGAAGGCACCCTCCCTCGTCTTCCACCATGTTCCCTCTCCAGTCGCTCGTTTCACTCGCCTTCGCCACTAGCTTCGTTGCTGCGTTGACCATCCCGCGCTACAATGCCAACCACACACCATTCGACGAGCTGGAGCGGCGGCAGGGCGCCTCAGATCCGACGTCCTTCACCTGGGTTCGCCGTTTCGCAGCTGTTGGGGACAGCTACAGTGCGGGAATAGGTTCTGGCGAGCAGCTGGGTGGGCTTTTCCACAATTTCAATGACTGGGCTTGCTCCCGCTACGACCTATCCTACCCGATGATGATGCGGCAATATGTCGGGTCGTCCATCGAAAGCTTCCAGTACCCCGCCTGCACAGGCGACCAGACATGGCAGATCTTCAACCAGATCAACAACCTGCAGGGCAACCTGGATCTGGTGACGTTGACGGCCGGTGGCAACGACTTGTGTTTGGTGGATATCATCAAGGATTGCATCGTCTTGGCCTTTTACGATGAGGCGACATGCAACACCATCCTGCAAAAGGCCGAGGAGAACTTGGAAAACATCATGCGCAACAACATCAAAGAGATGCTGCTCGCGCTTGGCCCCAAGATGGCCACCAACGGCATTGTTGTGTACAACAGCTACGCACAATTCTTCAACACCAACGACGAGAAGTGCGCCACGGACCAGGACTGGGGCCTCTTTCCCTGGGTCGGCTACACGTGGCTCGGCATCCGGTCCACGCCACTACCCCTAACCATCGCGCGCCGCCAGCGCTTCAACACGCTCACCGCAGGCCTGAACAACCTGATCCGCGACGTCGTGCACGATGTCGCCGACGAAGTCAACTACAAGATTGGCTTCTCGAACTGGGACCCCTGGCCGAGCGAGGGCGTCGACGGGCAGATGTGTTCGCCCTCCTCCTCCGGAGCCTACCCCGACAGCCGCCAGCCCAACCTCCTCTTCTTCAAGCCGGACACGCGCAAGACCTTTTTCCGCTCCCCCCTCCCCTTCAAAAAGCGCGACGACTCCGACTCCGATCTTTACCTCAAAGTAACCAACGGCACCGCCACCACCACCACCACCACCACCACCGACACCCCCATCCCAGTTGAAGATCCCCCCCTCGACCCCGTCCTCGCCGCCCGCCTCGCCGCCCTTCGCACGGACCTCGACGCCTCCGGCATCCCGCGCTCCATCTACCGCACCTCGCTCTGGCACTCACCCAACCCGCGCGCCGCGGCTCTCCACGCGCTCAACCCGCGGGCCCCCGCCGTACCCGGCTGCCCGTCCGACGCCTCCAGCTGGCTTCCCAGCCTAGGCTTCCTGCTGCCCGATTTCTTCGGGCGCATCTTCCACCCCAACGAGCAAGGGCACAACGCGATCGCGTCCTTCGCCATCGCCAAGACGATGGACCTGCGCGCCGGGGTGTTGGGCGCGGCGCCCGAGGTTTGTGAAATAGGCGAGGAGTTTAGCTGCTGGCGCAGTGGGGGCCGGGCGGCGTTCGTGACGGCGGAAAGGGCGGATGCGAATATGAAGGATTTTTGTGCGACGGTGGAGGGGCCCGGGAGTGGGTATACGCATTGGAGGAGGAGTAAGGTGTATCATGAAGGGACGCCGGATGAGATGGAGTTTATTTTGGATGGGGGGGAGGTGGATACGGTGAATCGGGAGGAGTGTTTGGAGGCGTTTACCAAGGTGGTGCATGGGTGTGATGCGGGGGATGGGGATAATCCGATGAATTGGAAGTTTGGGGGGCGGTGGAAGAAGGGGGAGTATGCGTATGACTTGAGCCCGAGGCGGAATCGGAACTTGATGACGGCGCCGAATGGGCAGTGTAAGGGGAAGTATAAGTTCTTGTTTAGTGACTTTGAGATGTATGGTACGTATCCGTCCCCGCCGATCACTGTTTGTTTGTCTTCTCGTACTGACAATTTACAGGCGCCGGCTTCAGCAGCTGGGATTGGGGTCAAGAGACCCTGCTGCCCCAGTCCAAAGGATGTCTCGGTCTCGGTGTGACGAAGTGGCACTGGGAATATTTTGACCAGCCCGACGAGAACGGGATGGAGTGGAAGGTGACTTTCAGAACTCCAGTGTTTGTGAGCAACAGATGCTACAGAAACAACAAGGTTGTCAGCTCCGTGGGTGGCGATACGCACGGGTGTGGGGGAGATTCAGGGGCATAACAGATTTGTGGTTGTGTAGTTTCTATCACTAATTCCATTTCATTCACGCACGCTTCTCATAAAAGCACAATGTACTCTATTCGCTTCAATAACCTGGGTATCATCGCTGGTAGCAGCCCATATCCAATCGCCACCTCCCGGAACTCACACAACCAAGCCCTTGACCTGTTTAAAGTCCTTCACCTTGATATCCCGCCACACAACAACCGACACAATGGAGATGACCTGAACCACCGTAGATGCAATGATCATGATCCGCTGTGCGTCGCCATATGCATGCTGAATAGCCGTTCGGGTGGGCGACCCAATGGGGTACGACAGTTGCGTCTCGAGCGAGCCAACGATGGTCGTCAGATTGCCCAGCGAGTCCTGCGGGAGGTGCTCGGCCAGTTTCTGGGGGAATACGCTGTTCCAGATAGCACCAGCCACGGTCGAGCCGATGGCGCCGCCGACGTTGGAAAACATGGACTCGACGGCAATGACGACGGCAATGTATTGATGCGTGGTGGCCGCCATGACGGCCATCTGCTCGCAAATGACCAAAGTCCCCCCCGCAAAGGCGATGAAGATCTGGCACATGACGATGTATCCGATGTTAACGTCCGGCTGACGGAAATGCGCCATGAGGCCGACACCGAGAATTGTGACCGGCACGCCGAAGTAGAGGGCAAGCCACTTGAAGCGGCCAGTGGCGCGAATGAGGAAACCGACGACGAATGACCAAAAGCAACTGCCAAGACTGTAAATGTTGACAATGTATGACGATTTGGTCATGTCGAGGCCGTTGACCACTTGTAGGAAAGAGGGGAAGTAGCTGTCCCATATGTAGAATGAGACGAACAGCACGCCAGCAAGAACGCAGGCGCCCATGACGGTGCGATCCATGAGCAAGTCGTAAGGGATGAAGGTCTTGGGCGCGACAAACTTTTCGTACAGGGCGAAAGCGATAAGGAGGAGACCCCCAACGACAAAGAATGCGATCAACATTGGTGACCTCCATCGTTCGGCTTGCTGAGCGTAGAGGTTAAAAGGTAGGAGGAAGAGGGCCAGGCCGGCCGTGATGAGAAGAAGCCCAACCACGTCGAACTCAATAGCGTAATGCTTGACTGACTGAATCCAGGTACGGCCGCTCTTCCGATCCGGGATGAGGCCCATCCTACGAGCCTTGCGGTAGTTGACGTAGAATAAGACGAGGAGTGGTGAGCAGATGGCAGGTGTGATGATGGCGAAAGCGCCAAAACCCCACCGAAAGCCGGGTCCATGGTAGAACGCATCCGCCAACGGCCCGCCGATCCACACGGTGATGATATAGGGGGAAGAGATGAACGCGAACATCAACCCCCGGTTTTTGAGTGCCGATGTGTCGGCTATAAAGATGGAAATGGCGTAAGAGACCCCGTTGTAGCCAACCCAATAGAACACCTGACCCGCGGCATAAGTTTCGACATTGTTGCAACCGGCCATCATGGCGAGCCCGATGGTCAAGCTGATCATCATAGCAACGAAACCTTGCGGGCGGCCCCAGATATCCAAAATTTTGGCCAGCGGAAGCTTGAAGAGCCCGCCGATGAGGCTAGAAAAAACGCTCGTAGCGGCCGTCAGAGAGTGGCTCTTGAATTCGCTCGTCACGTAGGGCGTCAGTGTAGATGACATCCCTTGCTGCATGGTATCGACGAAGTATATGCACCAAATACTAGTCCGGGGTGGAGCATGTCAGCAATCGATCTCGGTTGGTCAACTCGAACCTGTTAACACCTACGTAACGTAAGCCACGATGAGGCTGGTTTTTGTCCAGACCTTGGCTAAGGCTTCCACATCTTGGATACCGGCCTGGGCGCCCACAGAGATGGCGTCCGAGTCGTGGTCGATATCGGAGGGGGATTGCAATGTATCACTAACAATGTTGGCTTCCTTGTCGGTAGCGGCTTTTGCACCGGGCACTTCCTGCTCCACGACCGGGGCCTCTCGAGGCCTGACCAGGGCAGCAAGACGCCCTTTCATCTTGGTGATAAACGGTTGTTGAGATTGAGCCGGCTGGCAAAGAGGACCGTTAACAGACGGAAGCTCCGCGATGGGCTCCCGGCGGAAGGGTTGGCACTAAGGAGAAAAGTACGAGAAGGTGAGAACGGGAAGGCAAAGGCTCTCGGGATCGGCAAGGAAAAAGGCCATTTTTATCAGATGTTGCACCCGCGGCAGGTGGGGACCTCGAGAGTGGGATGGATGGTGGGACAACTGGGCCCACGCCTGCCCGCAGCTCTCCTTCCTGCCTCGGTGTTGCACCCGGAATTTAGAAAGCGAGGTTTCCCATTCCCGTTTCTGGGCTTGCAACCGCTGCATCGGATGTTGTGATTGCTTGGCCCAGGCTTGATCCCCTGCGTGTCGTGACATCGCCGGGAAAAAACACTCCATCCGCGCCACAGGCCGACGCCAATCACGGCACAAGAACCTCGGACGTTGCTGTGTTGGTAACTTGGTTCCGAGATCATAACCCAACAGGAAGGATGTCCCGTTGGTGAGTGGGGGAGGTTGATCCACTAAGTCCTTTATCAATCTCATCAGAAAAATCTGATAATCTTTCTTGGCGTTGCTCCCATCGACCCCGCGGTGTGCGATATCGGTACTTCGGCACGGATTTGATCAAGGAACATCAAAAAGATATTTATCATGGAACAGAGTCACGTACATGACCGACCGGTTGTACTGTTCCTATTGGCGACGGGCTAGAGCTTGATTTTAGACATACTCTTACTGCGGGAACGGAGTTCAATTCTATTTGTTGTTGTCACTCACTATCAGTGGATCATATGTTAATTGGGGTTCAATACGGGTGCTATGAGAACCAACAGAAAGTTAAAAAAGGATTGTATGAAATAGCGGGCGCAAAAACACGGTGAGGTCTGGTCGTACAAAGGACCCAATAGCTTTCTCATTTCCACCATGAATCATGAGAGAATAGAAGAAAGGCACCTAGAGACATTGGAACCCAAGTGAAAGTCTACCTAGGATAGGTACCTTACCTAAATAGCAAACACAAGGGCAAGTAAGCGTATCAAACCAACCGCTGCAACAGTTTGAGCCCGGGGAGGCCCTGTCAGTTACCGCAAGCCGCTCCTAATCTCACTTGAGAGAAGAATTGGCGCCAGAATGGTACATCCAGGAGGATGACTTGGTTCCAAATCGGCATGGTAAACCCACACCTACCTCTCCTTACTCATAAGACAGTTCAAGGACTGGTATGTGTGGTAGCAGGAAGTAAGCTGCCCCCTGTAACCTGACCTTCATATCTGGAAGAACTGGATGGCGTAACGGTCGGGCGACCGCTTGCTCCCACAACTCCGGGCCCAAAAGGAGCAGCTGCCGAATTCTGGGACCTTTAGGATGCTGTAATGATTTGGGTGATAATACCTTGACTAAATATAGGGATCTCGCCCCAAACTTATAGAAGTCACACGGGATAACCAGCAATGTGGTGGCCAATAAGTACATGAGAATTTGCGAGCTATCTGACTACTAACGAGCGACGAGTGACCTCGCCTGTGTGTGCTGTGTATGCTGGAACAGAATCGATGTACTTTCTGAAAGAGATATCCACTGGTCGATGTTGAATCTTCCCGAAATGTCGTCCCCCCTTCAGAATGAACTCAAAACTGGACCTGTTCGACGAGCGAGGTGTTAGCGAACATAGACTTGAGTTGGCCGAAACCTGGTTCCTGGCTTGAGACTAAATCAACATAATTACCTTGCTATTTCAGCCACCTGGACCGTGTCCACAATGCCGCGTAATTTAGCACACGGCGCCGCCATCGTTGCCGCCGTGGCAGGTGCCAGAGCCGCAGTCCCGGATCTCAGTCCACTTGCCTCCACGGCACTCGACCTGTTTCGCAAACGTTAAGACTGCTGAGCTGCAGCGTATCTAGTGGATAGACGTACCACGCCGGTTCTGTCGCAGCCGCAGAAGTGCCGGTCTCCGTTGGAGGACTGGCAGGGGCTGTTGGTGCGCCGCTGGTCACCGCCGTAGCCGGCGCCGCAGGTGTCGCGGGCCTGGACATTGGGAGCGGCCGAGGCAGTGACGGCGACGGCGGCCATGAGGGTGCAGACGATAGCGGAGACCTTCATTTTGAAAAGTGTGCTGTTTTTCTGGTTGGGAAGTTGTTGATTGTAGTGGTGGTGATTGTGTGAGGAGATTGGAGGCTTGATGAACAAAAGTCCTGGCTTTCTCGAGGGGACGTCCTGGGCTATTTATACCTTCCTCGAGGCAACTATCCAGCCCCCGAGATTTTGCTGTATTCTTCCGAATGTTGTCATGCATTCTCTTCTCAGGACTCCCATCCATGTTGACGGCAAAACTATCGCCGTCTCGTGGCGGAATGATGGATAGCCTGGAGCCCGCTGAATCCTTCTCGTGTCACGTCCATCACCAGGCCATCCACTCAGAAGAGAATGGTGTTGCTTTCCAGGTTCTACCTGGTCGCGATGCGCGCGAGAGCACAAGAATTGATTGGTATCACGTAAGGGCAGATCGACTGGTGAGAATGCATACTGTGTAAGCAGCGAGACAGTCCATTCGCAGACACAGCCCTCGATTAAGCTCCATGTCCCGACCGGCACGGGCCAGCCGATGGGCCATGGCTTCGGAGCCCCTCTGCTTCAACCAAGTTCAGCCCCGGGAGCCAAACAATGCAAAAGCAGCTCATAGGTAACCATTGGCCCCTGGGCACTCTGCGAAGAGTCTTTGTGAGCCATATCACAACATATCACGCAACGAATCAGACGTCTCCAAAAGAAAGACACAGTTACATTGTCGAGTCTTAATGTATTATGCTACTTTGTAATGCCTAAACGGGCTCAACGGGCTCATCCACTTTGTGTTCACAAAGCGTCGCCACTTTTAAAATTGGTATTTTACGCACCGAGTTGACCTCGCACTGGATCCCGCAAGCGGTGTCACCAAAGGGTATGAAGTTACTGGACCGTTGTGTGTAGTAACGCACCACAACATGATGACAGCGGTTGGCCCTCGCCGCTGGTGTCTCGGTAGTTAACACTGTAAAAGGTGACAAGCTTTCTGTGGAGCACGAGTCACGCGGCGATCTCTACCGGAAAGCCTCCCCGTGTTTGTGGCATCGGACGGGTCGGGAGGTGTCTGCAGTAGCGCTGACAGGATTCGCCCAATACAGCAACTCCCTGGCATCTCATCAAGCACAAAACCACAGCTGCGCAGTTTGTGTGTAAAAGTGACGTGTTTGAACGGCCGATGTTGCAATCAGTCGTTTACACAGTGCCATGGGCTTTGAATGTCTCGCAACTTATTGCTTCCCGATACACCGAGAATGAGAATCCTTCTCTTTCCTTCTCAGATTGGGATGCAATGATCAACCTCAGCTTGTCAAGGCTTGCGCCGAATGAAACAGGGGACTTGGGATGATCTCTCCAGCCATTCGTCTTGTTGCTTGTCCTCCTTTCCGCCACTGGCCACAACTTTTGTGGATGCCACTGAATACAATTCCCAAGGGTTACTATCACGGCGGTTTCCGGCCAACGAGAAGGACGGGCTCTTCATTTCTCTCAAAGAATGTCATCAAATTTCGTGGTGAAAGAACCATGTTTGAGTGTTCCTCCCAGCAGCAGATCCTAATTGTTAGTGGTTTCCGCCAACTTTCAGGTACCGAATCATCCATCCTCGGGTTTGACGGACATACTTGGTTCCGACAACCTTACGAAAAGGTAGTACGTATGCGCGCTAATCATTACTACACCCGTTGCTCTGACGCAGGCTGTGTTTATTTTCTCGAGCCAGCACAACGAAGGAGCGCGGATACCGTCGGATACCAAAGAGCTCTGATCCTATCATCGACGGATAGGCACTGCAATCCCAGCCCAACCCAGGAAAATCAACTCAGCCCCAGCGCCTGACATTGCTTCTCCATCTCCCTGGTGTCCATCACCCTCGCGGGCACACCATTCCCAAACTCAACCACCCGCCCCCCATCCACCTCCCTCCACGCATCCCACCCCTCCACAACCGTCATCCTCTCCCCCGCCGTCGCCACAAACTCCAGCCACACATCCTGCATCACCCTACTCGTCTCCTTCTCCAACGCACTCGACTCGCCCCGAAACAACCCATGCGTCCCAAACACCGGCGGCATCTCCGCCCCATGATACGCACCCATCCACGGCTTGGGACTAACATTCTTAAAATTGCCCGCGTACACAAACCGATACACCGGCACCTCCCCCCTGTGCGCAGTAATCCGCGCCCTCGCCGCCTGGTAGCTGGGACAAAAGAAAAAGACCGCCGTCATCTCATCCGCCAGCGTCTGGTCGACACCCTGCGGGTCGTAGGGCACGAACGAGACGCCGTCCTGCGCGTTGCTGCCGATGAGGGCGGGGAGGCGCGCGATGTGGCCCGCCTGGGCGCGCGCGCTGTAGTTGGCGAAGACGGTGGCGCCGTCGTCGATAGAGGGGGAGAAGAAGACGGGCGGGGTGCGGCCGGCGTCGGTGTACGTTTCGATGAGGGCGTTGATGGCGGTGGCCGAGACGTTGTTGTTGTTTTTGCGCATGCAGGTGAGTTCGGCGGCGGGGGGGAGGTTGCCGCAGCCGAGTTGGGAAGCGACGTACGTGAAGTTGGAGTGGGTGGGGTTGTGGCTGAGGATGTCGATGAATTCGTTGCCGGAGTCGAGGATCACGCTGTTGGCGATGGGGTCGGTCCGGTAGATGTAGCTGTAGTAGGCGATGATGATGGCGCCGGAGCTCTCGCCCCAGAGGCCGATGCGGGCTGGGTCGCCGCCGAAGGAGGCGATGTTGTCGCGTACCCATTCGATGGCCAGGCGGGCGTCGAGGAGGCCGGGGTTTTGTTGGTCCGGGGGAAGACCGGCGGCGTTGGTGTAGCCGAAGATGTTGTCCCGGTGGTTGAAAGAGATGACGATGTGCTCTTGGGTCCGCTGAATCCATTCGGCTGGAATGAGGTAAGGCGAGTTCGTGCCGCCCACGGTAAAAGCTCCTCCGTAGAAGAACATGATGACCGGTAGGTTCTTCTTCGCCTTGCCCCGCGGTGCCCAGATGCTGAGGGTTAGGCAGTCCTCGCTGATGGGGCCGGTGGACCCGTTCAAGCCGCCGAGGTTGTACTCAAGGACCTCATGGGTCTGAATATTGGGCACCTTGTTGGCGTACTGCATACAGCTGGGAGTCATCTCCTTCGCATCCCAACTCCCCGAACGGGAGGGCTGGCTGCGGCGGCGCAAACCGGAAGGTCGCCCACGGGCGGGCGCGCATAGGGGATGCCGAGGAACTGACGGACATTAGGCGTGGCATTGCCGAAGGTTCCGTGGATCACGCCCCCTTTCGTCTTTACGGTGAGGTCGCCATCGCACGCCACGCGCGTCTACTACCGTGTGCCCAAAAATGGATGCGGTGAGAAGGGTAAGGAGCTTGAGCCTCATGCTGTGTGACAGTTTGAGGGTACTGTCAAAGGCTTACCAAGGACGGGCGATGATGCTGCGCTGCTCTGACCTTTCTTACCAACCTAAACCTAATACAATACTCATCATATTCATGAGTTTTATACTATCCATTGTTTCCCAACCCCTCCGGCGCGTCATGGCCGCGATCAGGGGTAGGTGCGCGGATTTGAGGGGGTTAATTAAGTTAGTGTCTCCGCCTCCAAAGTTCTTGGAGCTTGCTCAGACTGGGGCGGGCTCGGACTCGTGAGTTGTGGGTATGGGATAATGCACCAATGGCAAGACATCCGGGCCGCGTACGGCGGTTCGGTCGCAGAGACGCACTTGGGGCCCGCAGTAGGGCCGCTTGGATATGGTAGAAGCCTTTGGCGTCTCGCTTTGATCATGGATCTGGGCAAGAATATGTGCTGAAATTCCGACCATACTTCGGAGTTCTATGTTTACTCCCAACGATCATTGTCCGCATACCCGTGAGCCAGTCTCAACACCCAACCATCACCCTCCTCTTCTCCCTTCGCATTCACCCCGCCCCACAACACAACGCCTCGCCCATCCAGACACGAATCCGCAGCAAACAATCCCCTCGGCCCAGGATGCATCTTGCCTTCTCCTATGATCTGCTCCGTCGGAACGATCTCAGCCTCCGCCCACCTAAACTCCCCCGATTCCATCCGAGGCAGCTTGTCCCGGATCTTGTCCTTGATCGCAGCCGCACTGCGCCCATGCGCCGGGAGCTGCAGTGTCCAGATATCTGAGAAGTATTCCTTTTCTACTTCCTCTTCCTCTGAACACCCGAACAGATACACGAGATACTCCCGCCCGTGCCCCGTACTCAACGGCACCAGCGCCCCGCCCGCCCTCGGTTTCGGCCCCGGAGCAAGCGGATTCGCCGGGAAGCTCACGCTTTCCCACACCAACGCATTCGGGCAACGCCCTCTCCGTGGACCGACTCCTTCATATCGAGGTAGTGCACCACCCCGCCCAGCCCAGCACCACCATCCCCGTCGCGCGAGATGATATACACCCCTCCCATTAGCATACGCCGCCGCCAACGGCGTAGCAGGGCAAGCTCGGCAGTTCTGTCCACACCATATCATGAAAATC